CACACACACACACACACACACACACACACACACACACGCGCACACACACAAGTATATTTCGAGGCACTAATGTATAACATATAGACGAAAACGTTTGAGAAGCTGGACAAGGGAGTATTGGGTTTCAAGATTCCATATTTACAGAGAGATGTATCTTCCTTTTATTCCTACAATGTTTGTAGAAGTAAATGCCTCGGACGAAAAGTCGCACTATTGCCTCTTATGCACCGTAAAGTACTAACATATCAGTCAAGTACACCTCGTATCGACTAGATCTACTTTAACATTACAAGTTTTAACAGTTATTTTAGCAGTTGCAATAAATTTTGATAAATCCAAAGAACACTGGAATGAACAATTCTTCTGTGTTGCAGTTCTGAAATTCTAACATGAAAAGAGACAATTCGAGTTGTCTTTATTAACATCATCGCATCTGATTATGTTGTCGTACGGTATAATCCTATAACTAAAACTTCTATCATATTAAACTTTGGTTTGATATTAACTTTGGTCTAACACTTAGATTTTCGCTCGTGCTAATCGCAAGTAGAATATCTCTACATGTGAATACGCGATTGCACAAAAGATTTCAATTCGCTACCGTCCAGTTTCACTTGAAAAAAGATCTCACCTAAGCGACTGTGTGTGATTACTTAAAGCGATTACTTCTATTAGTTTTCGAAAGCCAATTGTCCTTTTTACATATATAGGATGTTCCAGACTCTCCTCCGTAATTTTTATGGCAACGTAGGACGAACTGAGGTGAACACAAAAGTCCTACACCGTTTCGCGATATTATATAATAAATATTATATAATATATTATATGATATTATATAATAAATCTCGAGATATTAATTAAAGAAGATTAGTGAATGATCACGCGCGATATGGTAGACGAGTTGTAGAGTAGCTCCGTCTGCCGTTGTATACTTATACATTAGGTCAAACTAAACAAAAAAATCCTTCACCATTTTGCAAATGATTGATACATAGATTTGTAGATATTAGTTAAAGAAGATTTGTGCATTATCGTGCACAATTATGTAACAATTTTCTTTCATTAATTACTAAAAATCTACATAGTTATTTGCAAAATGATAAAGGACTTTTTTGTTTAATTTGACTTAATATACAAGCACACAACAGCACACATCGCCACTACAACTTATCATATCGCACGTGATTATTAACCAATCTTCTTTAATTAATATCTCGACTATTATTGCGAATATCGCAAAATGATACAGGACTTTTATGTTCATCTCAATCCGTCCTACGTTCTTACAAAAATTCTAGGACATCCTATATATTATCTCAAGGAGACTCTTCTAAAGCCGAAAATATTTTAACATCTAAGAAGAAAAACAGAGAAGACTCTAGTTGCAAGGCGCTATTCCCTGTAATCTCCGCGACTCCTCCAGCGAATTTCAAAGCGTCGTGAATGCTCTGCCACGTCCCCGCTTGCAGGGATTGGTGTGGATCTTTTCGTGGCGGATCCAATTCGATCGTATTTTGCTCCAGTAATTGCAATAGTAGCACTTGAAACGCGGCTCCTTGCCGCACTCGTCCCTTTTGTGGCAGTGCAGGGACCACCTCAATTTGTACCTCCTGCCGCAGCGGTCGCACACGAACGGCTTGTTGTAGTCCAGATGTGGATACTGACGGCGACACGGGCGATCTACAATCAGACAAATCCGTTGCACGTGAGAACAATCTCCGACAAATCTTGCGCGCGCGGAAAATGGCAGTTGAGGAAGAAATCTATCGTTCAATTGCCACGATTGACAGATCGCTGAAGCGTGTTGTCGGAAGAAGGGGCTCTCTCTCCTTCGTCTCGCCAAAGAACCCCGTCGCCGTTACGAGGTACAATTTACGTGAACCCGTTCGATTTATTTGGCATGACGTGCAGACAAATATCTTGCTTCGGCCGCTGGGTTGTAACGTCGTGAATGGCGCAAGCAGGTACCTATAGTGGCAACACAATTATCGGAAGAGAATGTGTTAAAAACTGAGCTAAAATAGGACCGGGAATTGATGGTTTCATTCGATTCTCCTTGTCGAGATTCCAACGATAGGTAACACATAAGGTCAACGTGGTTATAACAGTCAAGATGGTCAACGAAGTTAAGACTCGAACGTGTTGGTGGTGCAGTAGCTATCCATCAGTCAGCCCACGTGGATTCGAATCGCGGCCTCTAACTTGGCTTTATTTCTTTTACGACTCAAAGGCCGATATGTGGTTACTTCAGTGGTCGAAATACGTCCCAAGTATTTCGGGCGCTGTGCCACTGTTCTGAGCTGCGCCACTAATCATTTCAAGCTCAATGCTCAATGGAGCGTGATTTGAAGTTCTTTTTCTTATGAGGAACCATGCCTGTTGCTAAGTTCGTTCTGTAGCGAGAAATTTGAGTTTTGGCGTGCTTGACGGTTAATTTTTTTAGACAGATTCGATGTCATTTTCTAAGCGTGTTGCTAGGATCCCGATACAAACTGTCAAATATATAACTGACGTCAGCTGACGTTCGGTCTATCGGATTGGACGAACCGTGTTGAAATCCTAGAAACATGCTTGAAAAATAACATCCAATCTGTCTCGAAAAATTGTCAAGCTCGCAACGGAGCACGCCGAGAGTCACATTTATTTCTACAGAACGAATATGCATGGTTCCTTGCAAAAAAAACAAATTACGTTCCGTAGGCATTAGACTTTAAAGAAATGACTAATTTCGCTGCCCATTTTAACTGTTATAATCACCAAATTGACTCTATGTGTCACCTGTCGTTAGAGAATCGAACAAAACCATCAATTCCCGGTTCCATTTTCGCTCAGTTTTCAACATACTCCTTTCTACAAACAGCGAACACGTTCGTGTATAATCGTTCGATCAAGTCGAGACTTCTTTACGAAAAATCGCAAGATGCGCAACTTTTGTGTGTCATTGTAACGCTCGCAGTGTGTTCGTCGCCTGTAACAAACACAGAAACTGTCTGTGATGTTTGCATTGTAAATGAAATGTAAGTATTTTTTTCTGTCATCAATTCGATATTTTGGATCGTCGGATTTCATTCGGTTCGTTTCTCTTTTGTTTATGGTGCACACAGATTACGAGGGAGAAGGTGAATTGACGATGAGAAAACTCGAAACGCTGCGCCGCGGCACACCGAGTGACATTTATATCTGGCTGAATAATTAAATTCATTTCTTTATTATCTGTCGAGTATCCTCGCTAACACAACGGTTATCAGTGGTACACCCATAATTGTGATAATAATTCAAAATGCGCAGAAAGGAAGATCTAAAATCATCGAGAATACATACGTGTATGCTTATTGAGTACGTAATGCAGGGGTCGGCAATATATTTTGGCACCTGTGCGGGCTGCGTTAGAGAGACATCTTAAAATGAAACACAGATCTGAATCATGTGAAGTGCGAGCAAATAATTGCGCGTCGTCGACCCCTGAAACCGACGGGATCCTCGATATTAAATCGCATATATATATATATATATATATATATATATATATATATATATATATATATATATATATAACGAAAGTATTACACATTAATGAACAACGTTACGCAATGCTTTGTTTTTCTCGGTCGTTTACCCGGTAATATCATATCGCCATTCTTTGAATGGGGATTCCTCGGAAACACCCGTCGTAATTTTGTAACACAGATGGACAAAACGAGCGGGAAACACACCTGAATCGACTCGAGGATATCTCGACGTAAATGCACGCGAGATAATCCGGCTAAAGTGTAGTGACACAGAAACTACTAACGTCTCACGATACGGACGTAATTAAGCGTCTTTGTCGTTATCGAGCGCGTCACGGAGATCGAAGGTCATCGTACATGGGGCTTACGAGAAATTCCCATTTATACTTTTTTGTCTTTATGTAACTGTGTGTCCGGAAGTGCTCCCAACAAGGAAAGGAGCCGAAACGCTTACGTACTAATTATTATCGTCGATCACCTTAACAACTAGAGGTATCATTTTGGTTTCGCACTTGCCCCTTTGTTGACTTGTTCCGCCCGCGTGTTTGAGAGTCACATACACACGTACATGTATATCCCGTGATGCATATTTACATATTCAGTTGCGCGTGTGTGTAGTTCTATGTTTACTTGTAACTGAGTGTATGTGTGTGTGTGTGTACATGTATCTATGTGTCTCTGTGTATATATATAATCTTTGTTTCTCTCTCTTTGTATATATATATATTTCTTTTTTCTTTCATCTTTTTATATATTTATATATGTATATATATATAAGGTGACTTCAAAATAACTCTATAGGCATCTCGTGTACAGCCATTCGTCGGCTTACACGATGACTCGAGTATTGCATAGCTGGCCTCACTTATATTGGCACGAAAATCGCAAAATCAACGCGAACGCTTGCGTATGTCGCACATGTTAATTACAATTTGTCCTCTGCTTACAATGTTAGCACCTCGCACGATAACGGAATCTCTTATCGGTTGTGCGCCGATCTACTATCAGAGATTATCATTCTGTTCTATAATTTTGATGTTAACCGGTGGTAAACTTGCAAATTTTATTTTATCAAATATTTTTTAATATAATTGTTGCAAAATCAACTAATGGGATTAATGGGACACGCATTTTGTAACGTTGTAGGAATACTTTTAAATCATTAGAAAATACATATGTATTTTCTACGTATATAGATGGATGAGGAGATAAAAATGCATCAATCTTTGATATGAAACTTTCGAATTGAAAGTTCAAAGTAGAAAGATTTTAAATTATTAAAAAATAATTGTACATATGTGGATGAACGTGGAGATGAAAATCGCGCATCAATTTTTGAGACGGAACCTTTGAACGGAAAATTCCAAATGAAAAGTTTACCGTTAGCGTGCGGGAGGAGAAATGCAACGTCATATCGCTCGCGTATACGTACAATGGGATACAGTCGCACGTACGTCTCGCATCGTTCACGTGTTAATAACAAATGTATACCTCTCACTTCGTACGATTTTTCTATCTCTTTTTCTTTTTTTTTTTTTTGTTTAATTTTCAGTCTTTTCACCACCACTCTGCGTGTATATTATTTCCGTTTCGCGTTCTCCAGCGCGAAATCGCGTGAAAAGTACAACCACTCCCTCTCGTGCTGTACTTCGGCTCTTTAATGCTTCGATAACATGGAAAACTTGGAAGACACATTCCGTTCGCTTTCACGTTTCATACGAAATCGGCGTCGCGTTGATCGATAAAAAAAAAGAAAAAAAACACCGGAGTGCTTCAACGCGCCGGCCGTGTTTCGCACGCACGTACGCACGCATATAAAAAAAATACAACGGACAAATGCGGATCGCTTACTTATCTTCGTAATTATTCTCGGACTTTCCTGCCTGCCACACATCTGTGTGGAAGATATTTCCCTGTAACGCGCACATATAGTGTATAAAAAAAGAGGTAATTTTTATCCATCTCAGAAATATACAGGGTCTGTGATGATAGGCGAGAAAATATACAAGAGTGGATCAAACCGAATAGAAAATTATTCTGCCTTTTTGCGAACAAGCACGTGAAATTTTGAACCATCAATTAAAGAAGATGTATCGATTACGATAAGAAGATTGTGTATCGATACACTTGATTGCTGAACAGTTTGCGCATTCTTTGTTGAAAAAATTGCAGAAGTTGCTCCAATTGTCAGGATTGAAAGCCACTACTGGCGAGTATGCGCAATAGTAATCGGCTAGTTGCGAAGTAGTAGCACAAAATGTGATATTTGTGAAATTTGGGGAAAGGAAAAATTCGTTTACTTATTTTTATTTATTTATTTTAAATTAGGGGAACGTTATTTCGCTACATTTATAGCCGATTACTGAGCACATATGTCGGCAGTGGCTTTCAATCTTGACACTTGAGGCATTGCGATTTCATTCGACAAGAAATGTGTGAACCGACCAGCAATCAAGTGTACATTCGGTCAAACTGAAGAAAAAAGTCCTCTAACATTTTGCAAATAATGTGGATTTGCAAAATGATGGAGGACTTTCTTGTCTAGTCTGATCCAATGTACAAGCACATAAGGAAAAATTGTATTTACTGTATTACGTCGCGCATCGCGATTATTCACCAACCTTCTTTATGAATAAATAACTCAAAATTTCACGGGTTTTCTTGCAAAATGGTAGAGGCATTATGCGCTCAGTTTGGTCTAGTCTACATGTATACGAGCGTTTATCCACCGATCGTCAGATACCCCGTATACACACGAATATTCATAAACTTTTCAAGAAATAACAAAGAAAATTCGATTACGTGCGTATTGATTACGGAGGTTCCCGTGAAGTGCCTGGATACGAAAGGATGTCAAAAATATACGTGCAACTTCCGTTGCCTGGCATGTGGCAAAAAATATTCTACTCCTTTTGATTATTGCTGAAACACATCATTGTTGAACGACTCGCGGTTTGCTTCTAAATTATTCACACGTCGAATATTATAAGATCTCGCTCGCTCCTCCGCCTAAAACGGAAGGATGACAATGTACGAGAGGCTCAATGAGTCCCCGTCGCGCAACAAGAAACCTAGACACTTGAGGGCGTGACGCGCGAGCGTCGCGCCTCTCGCAACAGCGTGTGTTTTTGATCACATTTTTAGGCACATGGAGTCGATTTGGACGACACG